AGTAATAAGTTACTAGTTCAACATCTTTGTTTATTAAAAATGTTTTTTTATACGCAAGGCACAATAATTGATAAGAATAAAAATTCCTAACAATGCTTCCTATTAGTAATTGACTTTATCCATTACATTTTATGTACCTGCATTCGCTTAAACGTAGAGCTTTTACAACGAATTTTTAATAAGAACCAACTTTTTTCGACTACTCCGATTTTTGGCCAAAAATTATCGCTCTTCACTAAATTTTCTATTCTAGTCGTTACTTTCGCCTTACAACTAACACGCATTTTAAACTCGCTCTCTGTACCTCACATAAATATCATACACGTCGTAGCCTTCTTGAATAGAAGAAACGCTTTCTTTTCTGATTGATTTATCAATATGGCAGCAAACTGAAAATTTGTGCTCTTGTTTGATCCTGCAGTTGCTCTGTGACATTAAAAATGTAAACTAAAGAAGCTAAAATTATCGTCTTTTTACAAAGAAATTGAGCCATATACGCACGTAAAAGTAATAAATATTACAAAAAGAAAAATTCTACAAACCTCGTCTCCCTGGCTTCACGCGGAATATCCCGACCGACGATTAAAAAAAATTAGAGCAAAAAAAAGGTAGTGCGAGATGACCGTACGGTTTCAATCGTTGTAATGTGTTAATTTTATTAAGACACAAAATTCCATACATTAAAGTAAATTTGCACAACCGTGGGAAAGGCACCTGACGCGAACATCTATTTGACATCCTTATATGATCGTTCATATACAACACGGTGATATACAGTGTACAATATAGTATGTAAAAAAAAATGGAGAAGAAATGTATTTTCCTCGTTTATGTTCAAATTCATCTCAACGACGCGTTTCCTTAAAACGGTAACCGGTTAAAAAAAAAGAAGAAGGAGAACACAGTCACCTAATAGACCATTTGCTGCTCCAGATGGTACTTCTGCCGGCACAGTTTTTGCAATCTTATGATCCCGATCGATCTATTGTCCGCGTACTTCGTCTCCCACGCGTCGAACAGCATGTTGTAGTACCTCGGTACGTCGAAGTATTGCAGGTACTCGTAGCTGGTGGCAGTGGGGAAGATCTTCTCGAACCTGTCCAATTGCGTCAGCTCGTCCTCGTACGCAATCAAGTGTCGAACGTCGTCCGGCGTGAGATCCTTTATTATATCGTTCACATAATCCTCGCGCAGTCTCAGATTCGAGTACAACGATTGTTTCTGACGCTCCACGTAAGTCAGCGTAGATCTATGCAGCCTGTAATCCTGGGATACCATGTCCAATTGGTATTTCTGTGCCAATTTCCCAGCCTCCTCAGTAGATAAAGTGTTTGGCAGTTGATATCCGGCTATGTTGAATACAGATTTAATCAGTGGCCCCTTGATGGCGGTGTCCAGTGGCGAGGAAGACTGCAACGACGGGGAAATGTTCACCTCCAGCAACCAAGGCTTCAAATTCTCGTCCAGGAGAATGTCGAAGCCGAACAGTTCGTAACAACAATATCGCGAGGAGGTGTTGGCTCTGGTCAAAGATGTGATAGACGATTCCCCAGCTATCATAGTTTTCACGACAATGTCCTTCATGTTGGCCCACAATTTGGGAACGTTCACATCTTCTTTTTCGAGATACGTCCAAAGAGTCTTAAGCGCCCACTTGTGACCCGTGCACGAGTCCACGCAGTCGTTGCTGGTGTACGTGGAATTGGTCTTGTTGATGCTGTAATTGGTCAGGTGCATGAATCGATCACTGAGGTAGTTGATGTCGTCGTTGTATTTGACCGACGCGAACCGGACCAGCCCGTCCGGGTAAATGTAGATCTTCAACGGGTTGAAGCTGGTGACCAGCACGTAGAGACGCAGATCGAATTTAGCGCCGCTGATCAATCTCGGTCTGGACAGATACTGTTGCACGATCACCGCGCGTTTCTTTGGTATTTGGGACCAACGGTGGACCACCTTTATACCGGTGCCTCGTGCCGACGCCGGCGGTTTCACGATCCACTTCGCCTTGCTACCGAGCTTCTTCCACACTTGCCGGAAACAACTCAAATCGCGTGGCAACACGTACGTCCGCGGGACGAAACCGAACTCTTTCACCTCGTGCTTGACCATCATCCTGCTCAGGTTCAACCAGAGGCAATCCTTGCGGCCGATCTGGAAGGTGCCCGGGAAATGGTTGATCTTCTGCGAGTCCTTCAGCGCCCGGAAGCACATCGACTTCATGTGCTTGCCCCAGGTGCCGCACCACTCCTGGCACTTCTTCATCAACCGAAAACCTGAGTTGACCAAGGTACGACGTACGATTAATGGTGTGATCGTGCTCAAACGCCACTTCAGGTGTTTGGTTACTTCGTACGGCAGTAATGGGCCCTTGCAGTCGAACGACTGGAACGCGAGGTACGGCGGCACGTTTGAGAACAGGCTTCTCCTGAATGGCATCTTGCATCTCTTGTCGCCACTGGCACCGGTCAGCTGATCTATCGTCAGCGGCCGCCGATCTATGTCGACGAACGATAGAATCTCTTCCTCTTCGTCCTCGTTCTGGCCCTCGAGGTCACCGTCGTCGTCGATGCTGTTCTCGACGCTCGCGGCCTCGTCGTGGTGATTGTACCCGATCATGTCCATCCTGGACGGTCTGTAACATCTACCGTGAAACAGGTTTGTTGGCTTTAGTCGGATCGGCACGCGGCTAGAGTTACGCGCCGCGCGAAACTCCCGCGGATTAACCATCGTTTTCTCACTTTCGTCGTCTCGCGTCATTACTGTGGCATTCTCCAACCTACAAACGTCACCGGCTCGCACGTCGAGATACATCGATTGCGTGGATATCGAAAGTTCGTCTTTAAATTCGAATAAGAAAATATTCGTCGAATTTCAGTTTGAAGCAGCTAATTTTATATAAAAATCTCTGTTAATCGTATTTGAATTCTGAAGATACTTTTCGTGTATAATTAAAGAATCAGAAGTGCAGAAAAGAAGCAAAATTCTACGATCCGAGAAGAACGACTGGTTGGCAGGCAGCAAGTAATTAAAATGCAGTGAGCGAGGTTCCCATCGTAACAAGACAGTCCCAGAAGATAACACAACCGACTGATACAATTTTCGAAGACGAATACATGTAACGAATCAAGAAGAAGAAATCGTGGCCGATTTTCTTATGCTAAAAAGACGCTTGAAGATTAAACGATCGGATTTCACGGCACGCCACGGCATTGGTTCGGACAGGCGTCGCGTCGTCGTTACAATTTTTCCTTAAACGGTAGCAGTTCATAAAAACAGTTATCGATGCGTCCGGCCGTATTTAAACATCGGCCGCTTAATGAGCTATACCCGGACGAGAAAGTTATATTGGCCCGTAAATCGCGCGGAGTAATCGGTTATAATAATATCTTTAAAGGCTTTCACGCACGCGCTATTGGCCTGTTTCACCGAATTCTTCCCACAAACACGCGTCCGCGTCCACGTCACGTACTTACCTACCTACCTATTTAAATTATGTAAACGGCAGCTGTCAGCATTCTGTGAACGGTCCCGCGGCTACCTGTAACAGAGAACCGAAAGGATTTTGGCTGTCAATTCATGTGACGAAATACGTTCGTTAAATGATAAAGCTGAGCGATAAAGAGATAAGATGATATATGAGGATACGCCTGAGAAGCTTCTACTTCAGGATTTTTATACGATTTTTACTTCATGCATCCATAATTCATTTTATACGCAAGAACACGGAATTTGGATAATAAAATTCTCTGTTTCATTTCACGACACTAAATTTTATAATCGTACATTAAAGAGAAGGCTAAAAATTGCAGAATAATTTGAGGCGATGAAGTTAGATGGCTGGTAATAAAGAGAAGTCTTGGGAGGCACGACGTACATATAATAATTCACGGACACCTTGCATATCTTAATCGATCCAGGATGCCGCATAAAAAGTTTGCAATAACTTAATCAGTCTTCACTTCTTCCGTCGCGCGGGCCCATAAAATCGTCCAAAAACTGTAAAATACGCCGGGTCATAATCGAATTATCTTTGGTGAAATCGGTCGGAACGGAACCACCGGTGTACATCGATTCAAAGTTCCGGAATGAAGACGGACGACGCGCGCACCGGTCAATTAAAGTAACTCCTTAATGCCGTCGTGATAAGATCGGTACTTGGCTTCCAGTCAATGTCTCGCGTTCGATCGTCCATTATCGATCGATCGGAAGCGGAACACCGCGTGTAATAACAAAAAAACGTCGAAGAAAATCGTGCGAGGTAGGAATAAAAAGTAGCCGGTTCTCGTCGCACGGTTCAATTTACGTAAAAGCGGCGGGGCGTTTTGCTCGTCGCGGGAAAGCTTGTAAAAAAGTGCGAGAGAGTCTCGTTGATTGGTGCTTGATCGATAACCGATCGATATACATATACGCATAAAACTCCGATGATTGCTTGCAAATTCGACACGGCACGAATTTTTCGGCTCGGACGAAGAAAAACACAGCTGCTCATCGATTATTATCACGATTTTTAATTTGCCCCAATGATACGTAAATGCCTTTTGTGATATGTAATTTATAATGCGACACGCTCTAGAGACAGGTCCATAGGCGGTAAAATTTAATTTGGAATACTCCCGTTACGCGCTTGTTATAGCTATTATGACTTTCGATTTCACAGAATTCTACTCGTTTGCATAAAAATAAGTCCATTCGTGCCTCGAATTTTTTCATGCTCTTTCATTACTTATAATATTACGGGACGCACGTTTAAATTTCGTTAAACCCACCATTTTCGACACTACGATTTTCTTAATGAAGATGCTTTTTATTCGATGCTTTTTATTTAACCGTCAGGCGGTGGCCCCGAGAAGCGCATCAAATGTAATTTGATCTAATTTTTAGAAATAAATTGGCCAATACATAACGCGTTTAATTTAGACAGGCAATTTGCAAAACACAGCATTGCATAATTTGCGGTAATCAAGGATTCACTCCACCGGGAAGATTCGACACACGTGAACAGGAAAAAAAAAATTTCTCAATCTACCGTCATCAACGTAACGAGGACTGCTTAAAATTAATTTCGCGCGGTCAATCTTCCTCGCTCGTCTACGCGAGTGATCGCTAGAAGCATCCAGGCCGATTCGTGACGTACCCAAAAGCGAGGACCCTCTCGCAAACGTATCGTCGCTGGTCGCCTTTTATGGCGAAAGCATCGCTACCCTCTCGACGGTAGTACAAATTACCGGACACTTTTTACCAGCTTGCGAAATGGACCTCGGTGAGACGATTGATTGGTCCGCTTCGCGTGAAAGGTAGTGAATCAATAATCCGAAATTAGGTTATCACCGAAATCGCGTTTTTTCTCGCGCCGCTGATCACCCAAATTGATTTAACGTCGAGTGAAACAGGAGAGGGAGAGAGAGAGAGAGAGAGAGAGAGAGAGAGAGAGAGATACTTGAAGACATGCAACGTTAAAAAGATACTCTAATATTGATTCTGACCCTTTTTCTTGTTGTATACATATAGCAATTCATTATGAATTAAATCCATAATGATTTTATCATTTAAATGTACAATGTACGGCATAAAAGTTATCAGTAAATCATTAAACTACCATGATACATAAGCTTGATTAATATTTGCTCGCTGATATCGCGAATGGGTGAACCGAGCTCATATTTATGCATATTAATCACGCAGTCTTTCATTGGAATCAATGACGACAGGTACTGTTTAACATTTAACACTATTTTTAAGCTTCCCATGGAAGTGACTTTATTCCTGCGTTCCCTTTCTTCCATGTCGCTCTTTTTTCTCGCCGTTTGATGCGATGCCGCGATACTGGCTTGAAAATTGGAAATTAAAATGAAGTTCTCGCTCACCTTTGGGTGAAATTTATAGCGATCGATGACCGTAATTTAACCGATAAAATTTAATCCATTAAATTTCGTCTTGTCTGAAAATATTTATGTTTTCATTCTTATGGAATAGATTATTGTTGAGTCAGTGAACGGTTTCGAGTGTGAAGCAATAATGAATCAATGAAAAATCAAACGGTGGTGTGAAATGATCGTTTAGAAAATTCAAGGTTTTACATTTGGTTTTATTTAACAAATGAAATCGTAGATAACATTGTAATATAGGATTTGTAGTAAAAAGGCGATATGAATAAGAATGAATATCGTACATATACCCTACAGGTTGTACATTTCTAATTCAATGTTTCATACATACAGATTTTGAGAAGTACCGTTTTCAGAAAATGCACTATACACATAGTAAGTCGCATAAAAATAAATGAGTAAAAATTGATTTTAATTATCGAAAAGGAACGTATTACAATTATTATAACGTGTTACAACAATTTATTAGCGATTTAAGTAATAACTACAGAGGACATGTAACTCTTCTAACTAAACATAGAAATTTGTTCGTAGATACTAAATAATATGACATAATAAGAAATTAACTAACGATATAATTCTATGCTAAAGAATGATAGTGAAGAAATAAAGGAAAAGGAAATTTGAAACAATGCGTGTTTATTCAATGTTGCACAATGTACGATCAGTTCCTCAACAAAAAAAAAAGAATGGGAAAACATCGTGTATCTCTCGCCCACAAAACTGTCTTTTAAACATATAACAAGTTAAAGTCTATAATAATAGATAATAATCAATCTACTTTACGGGATTTATTTCAGGTACAAAATTGAACCCTATCACAGACGTGTCACTTAAAGCTTCGTCACCTATTTACAGTACCGTGAAATGAGAGAAAAATACATTATAGATAAGATTTCGTCGAGAGAAGTACCGGATACAATGAATTATTTTACAAAACGTTGTCGTTCTTATGATTATCGTTAACCGAACGCCCTGAATAGGACGGGGTCTAACAATTTTTCGAAACGTGGAAGACAATGATTCGTCGTTTTCCCTCCTATTCGCTGTTCGCCCGTGTCAGGACAGCTTCTTCACCAGGAAGGAACAGTTTTCTCCTCATTCACAATCTCCAAGGCAAATCATCTTTCGTCTTCACCCATCACCAGGGTCTCCAAACGGCGTTGTTCGACTCGGTGGACTCTCCCGAGGAACTGGCCACGCTGACAGGACTCTGCGGCGGCGTGTAAACGTTTTGCGGTACGGTGACCGTCACGTTGGTGGCCGGGCTGAGAGCTGGTGCCGTTTTACTCACGGTATTCACCGTCGTAGTTGCATTTCCAATCGGACTCGCGGCAGGCCCTTCGAGTCGTCTCAGGCAACCACCGAGGTGTCTCATCAACTGCGCGCCGGCGGCCGGGTGAACGGCAGCGGCCACGGGAGTCGACAGAAACGAAGACACTTCTTGCGCGCACTGGGTGAAACCGTCCCTGAATCTGTCCGCGTAGCTGTTCTCCGGCGTCAGGGTGAGCCTCCTCGCGGTTCTCAGCGTGTGAAGGTGGCGTACAGTCAGCTCGAGGATGTCAGCTTTCTCGAGTTTGGCCACGTTCTCGCCTTCAGCTTGCAACGCGGTCACCATCAGATCCTTCAATTCGTCCAGGCAACGGTTGATCCTGGCTCGCCTCTTCCTCTCCAGCATCGGCTTCATGACTTTCCTGTACTGGTAAGTCCTCGACACCGGCTCCTCGTACTCCATACCGCCGACCGGCGTGTAACTCGTCAACGGTGCCATAGATACGATTGTAGAAGAGATCGTTGCTCCTCACTTTCTGTCACTTGTCACCAAACGATGTCCCGTGTTTCAGGAACGGATCGGACTGATTTCTAAGCGTGAGCGTACAGTGCGTAAGCTTTAACTAGCGTGGTGAATGCGTTCTCGGAGTGCCGAGACTACTATGTATCGCTACCGTGTTCACGACGGTTCTGAGTTTCTGGTGGGGACCGACCGGCTACTTATACGTTCGTCCGGTTTTCCCCTCCAGAGTGTCCCATTCCGGCGCCCCTACCGCGTGGTTTGGGGACTCTTCTCCGGGGAGCAGGGTGTCGGCTACGTGGACAGAAGGGAACGGAAAGGGGGGAGACGCACGAGTGAACTCTGCAGCCCGTGCACGGAGCAGCCAGCCAGCCAGCCAGCAGCCGGAGCGTATCGTGGGAAGCTCGCGGGCCGAACAGTTCCCACAGATCGGGGGCCTGTTGGGCCCGCGCGCGCGGCGCGCAGGTTCCCTTTCGCGCGTCTCTCTCCGACCGACGTGCGTGCCCGTTTACGCGCGCGCTCGCTCGAGTGGCGCTGGGGGGCCCCTTCGTTGGTGCGCGCGGGAGAAGACCCTTTCGTGCACACCTGCACGCTTTCTGCCTCCGCGCGAGAAGAAAGGAGAGAAAGAGAGAGAACAGAGAGGATCTTCGTCGTTGCTTCTGCTTCTCTCCTACTACCACTGTTACCCTTGCTGGTACCTCGTGACGAAAGGGGGAGCAGGGGAATCCAGGGGAAAAAAGAAGCGGCGAGCACACGCCATGACGCGCGACCAGCACGAGGACGACCCGCGCGATCGGCTGCGATCCTCCAACGCTACTTCTTCCTCTCTCTTTCTCGCTACGCTCTTTTCCTGCTTGATTCCTTCTACTGCTTCTTCTTCGTCGTCTTCTTCTTCTTCTTCTTGCTGTTCCCGCCGTTTCTCGTGATCGTCGCTTTTGTTAGAGTCTGCGCTCTGTTACTCGCCGAGAATGATATCGTTCGCGATTTTATCAACACTCGTGACTGTCCCGATTCGTTGACGTCTTCGAAACGTAGAAGTGGCGTCGGAAGAAACATTCTATTCTCTAATACTTCATTTCTCAATATTCCGCATGAGCGATTTTATTTAAATGATCGACTAGTTCTGATATTTTTAAGATCACCCGTCATGCATAATACATTTAAGATTTTATATTTCCTGAGAGAAATCGCACGATCGCGTTTAGGCGGCGGTGCGTAGGATCGTGTGTTCGAGATACGTACTGGATCGTAAACATAAAATGGGACACAATATTTTTTTTTAATTGCCCGCGCTCATTTCTCAGAATGTTTTAACGAACGTCGTGTAATTATCGCGGAAACGGTCTTCGTCTATCATTCGCACGTTTGTACATGCGCAAGCTTATGTAGCTTCGAGTGATTAATAAGTTAGTACGGCTCGCGTTAATAAGCCGCGACCGCCAATAATTGGTAATACTGCATCGGAGGGGAAGAAAAATGTGGCTAATTTTTTGTTACTTTCACAAAAACGCTTTCGCCCTGGAGGGTAATTAAAGAATTCTCGTATCGGTACTCTTTTTTTTCTCGATCCGCTGCATCCTTTCGAGATGATAATTAAGTCGTCAAATCCCGTCGTAATAGTTCCTATATAATAATCATGCAGATGATTTCCTTTATGTAGAGTATAATATTCAGTGATGTCTGCTTTTAAAGAGTTCAGAGGAAGTAGGATGAAATAAAGAATCTTTTATAGGTATAAAAGATTCATCGATTTACTCCAAGTCACTCTGAAATATCAGAATTGCTATTCCTCAGTTGTATTAAAACATTTTAAACAGAAATCGAACCGTCTAAGTCTAAAGAATCAAGGACGCTAGTAAGTTGTATACCAACGCTAGAATACGAGGCACCAGCACGCGGCGCTTGTCAGTGCGATCGAGTCGCGCTTCAATTTTCGATAAGGAACGGGTTCTCAGTGCTTAGCTTTTTGCTCGTCGGGAGAACTAGGGGCCCGCTCGGTTTGACCGGTTTATCGGAATCCGGACCGCGCGGTGCATCGCCACGGCTAGGGAGAGCCACGACACTTGTTGATTCACTGGAATACACCACCGACACGAGGCACGTGCACGCACGTGTCGCCACCGTTCCTCCTCCTGGCACCCAACAGGACGCCGCTGAATCACGACTTGGCGATCGAGCGTCGCCTCGCGTCGCTGGACCAGTTTCTATTATACTCGATGTAGAACAATTGAAATAGTCACGCTTGTCCTCTTTCGAACCAGCACGGGAATATTTGGGTCGGGCTACTCTCGTATTTCACATTTTTAAATATGGGAAGATTAAACAAATAAATCCTTATGACTTCATGATTATTTTGTTCAGAAAAAATGGTCCAGCGTTTATATTAAGACGTCGCGCAGATGCAATGGAGAAATATTATATTTGATAATTTCACTCGATTCTAACATTATACGTAGATAAAAATGTGGAAAGAGAAATAATTTTTCAGTTTCGATCGGCACAGTATTTTTAATTGCCGATGAGTAATTGGAAGAATTCCATGTTGTAATCGGTCGCGCGGGTCGCAGAATAGTTGGCACCGGTCCAGACTCGTATACAACGATCAAACTCCAATTATTTCCATCCTCTCATTGACCATTTATCATCGAAAGAGAACCAGTTCCCTCTGGTACGAGGACGAGGCGCGTTTGGCATTAGAAAAGGGCCGAACCGGTTTTCAAGTTGCCGCGATCGACCGGATCGGCAGCCGATTTTTCGAATTAAGCGTACGATCTTAATGATCGGCGCGCGAGGGACACCCGAGGAGGGACTGGTTTCGCTTGCGGGACTTAACGAAGTGTTTAGCCCTTTTGGAAGCCGGTGAAGCCAAACACGGATCGGAGCGGGCCACGGCGCGACGCGTCTCGAGTATTTACGAGGCTTTGCCTCTAAACTGCGAGAGCGGAGATCGGCCGCGACGATCGTCGCCGCCGCTCGCGTCCGTCTATCGTTCGTTAAAGAATTCGCTTGTCGCCTTGGGTATACACTGCCTCTTAACTGCCGATCGGCTACGTTTTACGAGCGGCTGTGGCTCCGGGCCGAAGGCGAGCCTCCAGGTCCGAGTGATGTCTCTTTAAAGCAACAGCCTCGTCGCCGATAGGATCGGTTCGGAACCTCTTTCGACCCGAAACCGCTGATTATTCACCGATCGGTGGAACGGATCGCATTCGAGATTCTCTGTCCAGATATAGACGGTTCGCTTATAAAGAATTTATTCGACGCCCCGGTGTTATAATTATGGCCAGTGGCGGCTTGGACCATCGTCACTTCGGCTCACGTCTTTTTCTGTGTCGAATTAGATGTTATTGATGCATATTTTAAAATAGAGTTTACAAGGTTTAAATGTTGCGAAACGAAAATAATAATCACGCGTCGCAGTTTTATTTTGTCAATAATTGATAGCAAGTAGCACTGCCAAGCTATATGCATACACAAAAGTGAAGAAACATGTCAAGATTCGTTACCTTTCATCTGTGCGCCTATTTAAATAAATCCCACTACTACTCACAGGAGGAATGATGAAATTTCACAATGCCACAAAATTTGTACGATCGTCCGCATTCGCACTCCGCCTTCGATTCGCTGGTTACACTCCGATAAATAGCGAGACGCAGAAGAGAACTCTATTATCTATGACAGGCGGCGTGTTCGGATACAATAGCGGTGAAGTCGACACAATATATTTTCGCGACCGTTTTGGCATTGTGCCGCACTCCTCGGTTACGCTGAATTAATTTCGTCATTCGCGTACTGATGTGTCACGTACTTATTATTAATTTGCGTTCGCATCGATGCCCGCCTCGATCACCGTCGTAATTTTAACCCGACGAAATCCAGCGAACTAAGCAAGAACGCGGCTTTCATTTAACCGAGGGTCGGTGATTCATTTACAGGTGATAAATTTAAATAAAATCCGATGACAAACGCCTTAGTAATCTTCTGAATTTCAGACATACTTTAATACTTATACTCGATTCAATATGAGTTTAAGTGATTAATAAATGATTGCGAGTCATGATTCCTTATAACAATTCTAAGCAGGCGCACGTCTCGGTTTCTAGTATTCTTATGAAGACATGTTTCAATTGAGAGAGATCCAGCGAACGAGACTGATCACATTGAGAATTATAATTTCTTTTCCAGGTCGATTGACATAGGTAATGTCGCGGACGTCGAGAACGACTACATTAGCATGAGTTGTACCAGCACAGAGACCGGTAGGATAATTACACTGATTGCTCCGAGCCGGATGTAGTGGTGACTTGCGCAGCCGCGCGCACGCGACCGTGTGCCTGCTAAGCTTCTGCGAAACGAGCGTTATCCGCGATGGCACGCCGCTATCATCGAGATGTCGTACGGACTCCGTTTATCATTAATTGCATTAACAACTCTGATACTCTGTCGCATCGAATTTAGACCTGTTCGTCTTTGATTTCACCACGAACGTCCTTACACAGTTTCTACAAAATTCATTTTTAATGCTATTCTATTTTTGCAGTTTGTTTATTAAATGTTTATGAGTCAAGTATTGATCTACAAATGCAGAATTTAATTATGTGCATTTTAAGTATCTATCTGTAATTGCAAGTATAAACACAAATTAAATGAGAAATTGAATTTTATTCAAAGAACAGAATTAAGTACAAAGAAGCCTTGATTCATTCTCTGATGAAATTAAAACTGAAAAAGGATTTATAAAAACGATTTTTGAGACATATACTGCACATGCACGTAAGAGAGGATTGCGCAGAGGAGGTGGAGGGAGATGGAACGAGCGAGAAAGAGCCGGGGAGAGTTACCTGAGGGGATGCAATCAATATCGTCGAACGAAGCCAGTCCACGGACGAGCCATCGTACGCTTTCGGAGCATGTTTACGGAAAAAGCAGCGACGTGCAGACGCGTCGGGTTCCCCTCTCTCTCACGGCGGGCGAGATAATCAGGCCGGCACACGGAATCACGGGAGAGAAGGTGTAAAAGATGCCGGCAGCGGAGCAACGACGACGGCAACAGCAGCAGCAGCAGTTCAGCGACGCTAATTCGGAACGTGCTGCTGGTATACGAAACGCTTCCGCACTGTGCGCTCTCTCCCTCTTCTCCTCTCGATCCTCGGCACCGAAAACAGTTGTAGATCGCTCGGTCTCGCTCCCGTCCGCTTCGCAACCCGGCGCGGCGCTGTGAGGCGAGCAAGCGTCGTCCTCGTCGAACCCCCGGCAGCAAGGTTCGCCAAGGTGCGGTGCGGTGGTGTTCGCCGCAGTAGAATGGGCAGCCTCGCCTCCGAAATTCCTCCTCGCCTCGTATATACACTCCTTGGCTCGTGCTACGAGAAACGTGGGAAGATTCTCAGGCCTGGAAGCCCGGCGTTCCCCACCAGCGAGCGCAAACGGGAACACGCGTTGCGAACGGCACGGTGGACGTGGATATACGTGCACGCACGGTTCAATGAGTACACTATTGTTCACAAGTAAAGGGGGAGATGACGAAGAAAATTAGATAAATCAAAGTACACTCGCGTCGTGTCATCTTTTTGCCCCATTCCAATCGTTTCTTATTATTTACAAGACGAATGGTAAGGCGATTGTAGAAATGCATTTAGCGAAGCGACTGTTTAAGAGTGTTGATTTAATTTTTCTTGAGACGTCGATTTTGAGAGTGCCGGTATGGCTTGTGGACGTTAGTGTACACGCGCGACTCTTATTGTGGGAACACAGAGGCGTCGTGCACGTCTCTCTCGCTCTTTCTCTCTGTGCTCTCTGGGCCGCTCTTCCTGATCGCATTGTGCACCGAGCCGTGAGTCCTCTTTGTGCGGCAGAGGAGCCAACCTGGTCCCGGTAATGTAACCTTAGCGTGGCCCCATCGTCGCTTGTTGTGCACATAATACGAGGCTATTGTACCGAGCACGGGCCATATTGTTGCCCTCATCTCGGCCGGCACCCTGCCACCACGCCAATGCCACCGACGATCCTCTTTCCTTATTTCCTTCCTTCGCGATCTTCCTCTTCCCTCGTTCGAGTGCTTCGTCTCTTTCTTCGTTGACGTAGCTCTGAGTAAATCTGTGAGAGCGTCCAAGGGGATGTTCACGTTGCAGCACAAAACTTGGGTGGTTGTGCTCGCGTGATGGCTGCTCGTTCTTTTTTTTTCAACTCATTTCTGTATACACGGTATGCTAAAATTGCCGGTGCATGATGGGTATCTAATTAGCAGTGATTTTTTAGCAGGGTCTCTCGTGAGGTCAAGGCAAAGGGGGTAATCATGAAGGATACGCATAATGTGATTTAAATAATTGCCTTGGTTTAAGAAAGTAGTAATGGCAGAAAGAAGTCAGACACGAAAACAATTCTTATGTTACGTTCATTACTAAAATTTAAAAGTTCGCTTGAGACATAGTTTTAATTGAAATTCACGCAATGCAGTAGAGTTGGCATTCGTTTAAAAGAGTGTCAAAACTTCGTTACTTTAATGACTACTGCCAACACGCTACCTACTTCAGATACTGCGGCAAAGTTCTACAGTAGTATAGGTCTATATATGATTCTATCGATCACTATTCTTTTGAGTGCATTCACCTCTTGGTGCTATTTACTTTTTAGAAATTCAAGTATTTGTATAATTAATATTACGACGAAAAGCTTTACATAATATTTAAAATATTAATTAATTTACTAAAATAAAAAAAAGATTTTGAATTCATCTGGAACTATTTAAAAAAATAATTCTTTAATGTATAATACTTAAATATAAATCAGACGTCTGTAACGAATCGATTTTAACGAATACGTGTTTGAATGCAGCGTCGCATTAGCGTAGCGTGAATTGGCAGTCGTAATGAACCGCGAAAAATGTAAAGCAACCGTAACGAAACCACTTGACCCGATGCATCGTCCAACCTAACCCTTTCGACGTTAAGCCATACAGTCGATAACAATCGCACGCTTCCATCCAAGCATAGCCCAACTGACCTATTTGCCGTGACGCCTATAGGCGTTCATTGCACGCTATCCGATTCAAGTTTATACTGGGTGTAACATAGACGAGTGAACCAAAATTTTCCAGTGACCATTTTCAGCAAAAAATACTGCATAAAGAATGCTTCGCTCCTATTAATAATCGCTTAATGGGTGTCTAATTTAATCAAAATTGTTTTGTATTTCGTGAAACTGTGTATCAAGTAAACTGCCAGTAGACTGATAATTTATTAACCATCATCGACTTGCAGAAGAGAACTGCTTGCAGCCTGCAAGTTAATCTCAATGCAAACAAATCTCATCACATAAGGACAAGGTTCTTTGCATCGCGACATGCGGGTGCTATTATAATTCCGGCTACACTGGTACTCATAAAATTCCTTTCAAAGCGAAGACTTCATTCCATTCCCATCTTATCACGTTCGAACAAGCTGAATTCAAACAAAGTGTATATTTTGAAGTAATTCCAATATCTCAGTTTTTATCAAAAATAAGTCCTGCATAAAAGCTACTACTTAGTATTTAATTAAATAGTCGCAAGTATTCGAGTAATTGCTGAAATTACCAATCAGATAATTTCTTAATCATTTTCCTGTTCAAAAAACGGAAATTGGAGTCATTAACGAGGAAAGATAGAAAGATATCTTCAAATTAACATTACACAGTCAGAGAAAGATACATTAATTGAAAGTAGCATTATACGTGATACGATATTCATTGATCTGTTCGAATCCGTGACAAAGAAGTTCTACCTGTGTTACGTTCATTTATTGTTAAATTATTGAATGTATAATTATTGAAAAAATGGTGCGAACAGATAGGACAAAAAGTTCGAATTCCGTTCGAATTGCCCGATGCTTAATGGAGTGTAGATTTTACGTAAGCCTGGACAGATTGTTGTTGGCAGGTTGTACGCGTGTTACGACGACTTAAACGAGACTCGCTCTCTCGTTCTCTCTCTCTCTCTCTCTCTCTCTCTCTCTTCCCTTCTGATTAATTGGTCTCGTGCGACTAGGTCTCTCGTTACGTAAAGCTTTAAACTCGGCCTTACCTCTCAATCTGGCGGAGGTGAAAGTCACCGCGTTGGCCGTCGAACAAGCGAATTCGTCGAAATCGACCGGGCGGACAAGCGGATAGCTGGTTGATAATTAAATCGAGATACGCCGTCGTTGTGTCCCGTGCAAGTTGACCGGTTCGACGAATTAAAAATCCAGCTTGTCGCGCGACCGCGGCGCACATCAAAGGACTCGTGATCCCACCGTTACGAGCCGTACCCAGTCGTGATGAAGACGTTTCACCAGGTAACGGGTATCCATCCGCGGTGAAATCGTCGTTAGAAGTTGAACGTCGCAAGAAGATGCAGGAGAAACCTGGCCGGCGATTATTTGTAATTTGTACTTTTTTCAATTACCATTTAGAAGAGTCGTGCGCCGTTCATTTTCCTAAAAAATTTTTCGTTTCAAAATTATAATATCAGATGCAATAAATAGATGAGAGACTTCAAAGTTACGCCGAAACGATTAAAGGGTTACATTCCAAAACAGTCATCAAAATTCTTCGAGCCACTCGACCGAACAAAGGAGCACCGACGCCAATCAATTCTACCACGAATGAAACTCTATCTAACGATCTGATCTTTTCTACAGACCACGGATTAATATCAAGGCTGATGGAAGTGAATCGTCGAATCTCGGGCTCACGTATTTTCAAATGAAGGGGATCGCGAGTTGAGAATAAACACCCATTAACAGTACGGAGTTCTAGCCCCTTCTTATTTCTACAGGTGTTGCTACGCGATCTACGGTGTTAACTTCGCCTCGCCGAGTAGACACAGAATCCGTTCGGCTTAATGCACCATTACAGAACACGCGGACGAATCAGAAACGCCGATCTCCGACACCCGCACGGTTTCCGAGTCATTAATTCAACGCGGTAATGAAATCGATGAAAAAAAACAGTGCCGTAAGAAATAACAACGGAATGCTTCATGGGATCATCTGATTTTGTGGTTCTCGTCGCCATTCCCGTTCCCGCGTTTCTTTACGACTTTAGAGGAAGAACTGAATTCAGCAGGATTGCAATTTTTCCACGAGTAACCGCTGCCTTTTTTGTGTAATTAATGTGGACCGTTAGTGTGTAATGTAATGTTCAAAAGATAAATTATCTTAGTGTATTTCTCGTGGTTAATTAATATTTCGAAATAGGATTTTCCTGCAATTCATGAAAAATCGCTATTAAACATTACACAAAAAAATTATAAATTCATGACACTTTTGTGAAAAAAATCATAAGATTTACCCGGAATTATGGTGAATCGTTAGCATTATATTTACGCAGTTTCCTTAAGAAAATGGGAGACGGAGAGATGCAATTTTCGCGGTTCGCATTTTTCGCCGTGGCCGATGCCCGCGTACCGTTATTTTCTTGATAATCGTGTCTCATCATTCTCTTCCCGGCCCGGTTCCCTCTCACCGGTTTCGGAGCAGACACCTGCTTCGCGTACACATCTACTCGATTTAACGTCGATGTTGACTGAAAGGCTACTCGTGCAACGGTCCCCTGCCGAGCTCCGCGTGCTTCAGTCTTTATTTTTAACTCTTCTGTCTTGCGCGATAAGCCGGCTTTCCACAGCCGTAACCGAAAAATGGTCGCGCGCAAACGAGAAAACGATGCTTGATAGAAAAAACGAATTACAAACGTGTTCGATTATAATCCGATTCGAAACTAGCACAAGATCACAAGATTGATAAAGTCAGATCTGAACCGATAAGCTTGTGTCACATTAAAGGATTCCATAACTTTTTTAAACTCAATAACATTTGTTTTAATAAATACAACAAAATTTAATGAAATAAGCAATTAGTATTCCATGTAAAATTGACTTAACATAACAAATTGCGATGGATACGATTATAGTGTCATGTAATAGATCACGAAAAGGTGACACCAATTAATGATTGGATCGGATCTCGTTAATCTGACCACCCCTTAACCGAGAATCAAACGCCGGTGATCCGGCGGGAGATTAATTAATTGCAAATTGAACGCGATCGAGACTCGCGGTAAGAATGGAAAGACTGTGGATAATATTGAAATGCAGATAGGGATGATGTTGAAAAAAGTCGTCCTTCGACGGGGATAGGGCGGAAATCTCGTAGAGAGGCGAGGTTTTATTTCACCGGCTGGCCGCTGATCGGTGAACTCAAACGAGACGGGGGACTAATTAACAACCGCTACCGGTTAAACGCAAAGGAGCACTCCGGCTGTAGGCGCAATCATTCTACGATAAACGATATTTCTCCCTTTTTCGAACAGGCGGCGCCGTGTTTTTTGCTTAAACGTATAAGCCGACACCGGCTCTGGCCCGACTCCACCCTTGCCTCCACCCATCGTGTCCATTAGCGTTTCGAGTCTTAATTATACCGCCGTTTTCTTCCTTAGTTTCCCATTAAAGGAATAGCCACGCCGTCGAACGACAGTCGTAAGTTATAACACGGATTCGGCGATAATTCCTTAAAGAATGTCTCTTTCTGGGACGAGATAAAGCGTAGATCTTTTTTAAGGAACTTTCCGAAGGAGGAAGGTAGCTGAGATAATGGGAAATCTTCTCTGAAAATCTAATATTATAAATTGTCTAATGCATTTCATTGTGTCCTTTTTCCCAAATCCTAATTCCAATTCAAAGTTAATGAAATTCATTAAAAATCGTTAAGAAACACTGTCACAGATTCAAAAGAGGAAATAATAAAAAATGTGCGATTGCCTGAATTATGTGAAACTGCATGTGATGGAATGGTCAAAGGGCGATCTAACCCGGAGCAAATCGTTTAACGCCCCCCTAGCGCAGGGTGTGCTGCCGGGTGCGTCCTCGAAATTAGGCCCGAATCACGACACACTCCCTTTCTCCCTTTCTCGTTCGGAGATTGCTCGTTTGCACAGGGTAGCCGTGTTCGTCCTCGTTCCGACGCACAGGTGGTGTGTCTCCGTTCGTGGGAACCGGTCGATCGGAGTCTTCCCGTGTTGAAAACCCGACCGGGGCCACGTGAAGAAGAAGGGTCCCCCTTGGACGTCGATCCACCCCGTGGCGACGTAGGGCCAGAAAAGCTGCGCAAGTGTTGTGTGTCGTAGCCACCCTGAATCGGGGCCCCATTCTTCTCCGGCTCGTTAGGGGCTTCGCCTCCTTTTGCCGGCGTGCCATGGCCGTAGAATGGGGAGGGACGCGTTCAGGGCATCATCTCACAATCAGTACTGTACAAGGGATCCCGAAAGCTGTGCGTGCTGTTCGTGTGCTGCTCGTGTGCTGCGCTTTACGCCTGCCACGATCCGGCTGTCGTTCGACCTCCTCTTGCCCGGATCATACTTAACCCACCCTCTCTGACTACGCCAGGCACACAGTATTGGAGCCACGAATGTGTTCACAATAGACGTATGAAATCGTCATATTACGGAAATTGACGGATGGAACAATTTAATAAATATTTTTTCCATCATATAACAAAATGTATTTATGAATTAGAATGGAATTAAATATTCTTTCGAGACAAAAGAAATAAAGCAGAAAGATAAATTATTACCCTTTTATATATTCATGCGTATGCATAAAATTATATTATATGCTTGATAAAAAAATTTACAATCCAGACGGCGAAATACTGATTGGCAGTTGAAACGTTACTGTGTGTCGTGTTAATTAACAAAGTCGTAAACGGATTATACGTGAATACGATTAAGGATTCAGGAAACGTAAACAGGCACGACAGTCTGCGTGGTAGCCGAGACGAATTTATTATTGGGAGTTTTCGCAACTGGAACTACTGGACGATTGAAACGTGTTCGGGATTGCGAGACGGGATGCATCGATCTCACGTACTTATCGTAATTCACAAATATTATACCCTGCGCCCGAATCCAGAATTTCCATCGCTGTATTTGTGTCATTGCCTTTTTACCGTATGATTTGTACGATTGAGGTACGGGGCCCGAACCGAAGTCACCATTTATGGTAAATTTGGCAAGTGAAAACGTAACATTTGCAGCCGGCCAGTTATTTGCATACATACATTGTACGCCTTGTAACGACGTGCAGAGCAATAAGCATTTTCTTGTTTAATTGACGTGGTTGAGAAAAGCATTCGCAAAATTGCACTGACATTTTCGTTAAGTAATGTGAATGCACGTCTTCTGAATATTACATCACAGGGTGTTTATTTATGGTTTATTTATGGCTTTCAGTCAATTTGTTCTGAACAGAATTAATATAATTTATGCAGAATCCGAAATTGTGCAGAATATATATGAAATATAATACAAGATCTTACATGAAAGGATAAAAATAATATTATTGAAGAATTTTTGTATTAGACGAATGTATGTATTATTTATAATACTTTACAAGATGCAATGACTGCATCGTCAGTGATGATTATCAGAAAAGTGGTAGAAAAAAAAGAAGCGAACTATTGAATGTTCAATATCGTACCATAATTGCCATTATTATACAAAATTTTCAAGAAAGACTTTTACTTCTTAGTGTACTTCCGCAAGTACAAGGCCCAAGGTACATAAAAGTAATTTTCAATTTATGGCAGTCATTACGCAGCAATGAGCGATTATATACATCGTTATTAACTTTATTCGAATTTTGGATGGCGACATATTCTTCATTTTTCAGATGCACTGCACGATCCGCGGTTAAAATGAATATTCAATTTTATGGATGTTATTAAAGAAATGTTTTAAAACTCATCTTCCACAATGTTGTAAAAGTTTCATCCGGTCTGTTTCGGTCACGTAACAAATTTCCTATCACTTCTGAATTTTTAAAACTGATAATTCTGTAAACATATTCATTACTATTGTAATAAATTTCGTTTTGAGTTCATATCGTAATATATTCACGTTTGCATTTCTAAAATTGATTAATAATTAAAAATATGTATGCAAATGACGAGAATTCAACTAAGGCTAAAGGGATGCGCGCCGAGAAATTAGCAATCACTCAACTCAGATTGTAATGACTGAGTCTCGCGACGCCCCGGGCTATAACGCGACCGTTTAAAAGGATCGATAAAATCAGCGAAAAAAATTAATATGCGCGTCTCGTGAAATTTTCAACGTACAAGACGTTACAATGTGAAACCCGATCTCGAAGCGTGTGCACGAAGCGGCCCCGGGAAGATTTATGCACGGCTGCTTAAATGAATGCTCTCCGATGGACGGTTGTAAGCTCTCTCTTATGAACATAAAGTTTGAAAACGATTTCATTTCGAACAGGTATATACCGATTTTGTGAAACCTTCATAACATGCTATAAATAATTTCCAATTTATCAGTCGAAGAACTGGAGAGTCAATGAGAAATTGTTCTTAATTTATCTATCAACGTGTAATCATTGCCAATTTCTCATAAGCTGTAGTGAATGATTTCTACGAATTTGATTTGC